TGCCTAAATGCCCTGACAAATATTCAGTATACTTGAACATCCGGGGACGAATGTTCCGGCTACTGCAGCGGCAGGAGGAGGACGCCAAGGAGCTGAAGGACCACGTGGCGCCCGGCGCCAAGACCCAGAAAGCACTGTCTTCTTCCAGTTATGTTATCAACACTGTTTATCCTCCTCTCTTTCAGAGACCCCACTGGGTTAGCCAGGCCTGAGGCAGGCAGTCAAGGGTGGGAGCTGAAGGTGAGGGGTGGGAGACCTCAAGATCTTCCATGCTGGGACTAAGGACCTGGAGACATAGCAGTGGTTGTAATCTGAAGGTGGGCCATGGTTGGTAGTGGGAAGTTAGGGGCTGGAGTGGTATGACACATAGAACTCCTCAATTTGTGCATCCACCCCATGTATATAGAATCAAAGTTAGGTTCTCAGATATACACGTTAAAATCTGCTTCAGCCTTTGTAGCTACAAATGCTGGGGCCAAGAACATTGTTCCACAAATATTCAGTGTATTTTTGGAAGTTGGGCACATTAAATGGCATGTTTATGTGCATTTAAATCCAACTGACCCCCAAGTGAGAAATCTCTGCTCCTGGGCTTGTTTTCTGATGCATATTGTCATCAAGTGCAACTGGTTGGGGATTTTAAATGGTCATATTCATACCAAAAGCGTTTGTTATAACAGTTGTGCTATTGAGCACAGAACAATGCTCACATTATGCCTTTTTATAAAAAACACATGGGGCTCCTACTGAGGCCTTTGCGGGTTCTAACATTATGCTTTGCTTTGCCCCTTTGAACACAGTGGGCAGGGCCTCTGCTCCAAGGTCTTCAGCCTAGCAAACACACCCAGAGACATGTTCTGGATGGAAGCAACTAATTTCTGCCTTTTGCCCTGTACGGACCCTATTGCATTATTCCATTGTGGTATTCTTAGAAACAGCTATTTGGGAGGCTGAAGTAGGAGGATCACGAGTCTGGGAGGCGAAGGTTGCAGTGAGCCGAGATTGTGCCAACACACTCCAGCACTCTAGCCTGGGTGACAGAGTGAGACCACCATCTCAAAAAAAAAAAAAAAGAAAAAGAAAAAAAAAAAAAAAAGAAACACAGCCAACATAACCATTAAGCCAATGGGAATTGTGTATTTCAAACAAAGCACCCCCAGCCCGGCTGGGCGTGGGGAGCACGGGGGCGGGAGTAGGGGCATCTGCCATCTTCCCATTAAACTGGACTTTGGTTGTGTGCTGGGTTTTTCCATGGGGAAATAAATATGAGGCTTTTGTGCTCGTCCTTGCCAGATCAGGAGAACCCCCAAAATAAGGCCACACTTCCTGCAATGGACCTTCTATCTTCCCTCGGTCTTCTTGCCCCAGTTTTTCTCCCTTCCATATCGTTATTTCTCCAGAGGGCAAGAATGAGCTCACCATATTTGTTCTGTATCAGCACCACAGACCAAGACTTTGCGGGGACCAGAAGCCCGGTGAATTGACCCTTCAGGATACTGCCAGCAGAGGGCACTGTCCTCCTTATGGTGAAAGCTGGTACCTATGCTTCGCCATCCAGATTCTCCAGCTACCAGGCCCTCTGGGCCAGCCACAGGGACTTTGACTTGCCTCGCTGAGCTGTTAAGCCGGAAAGCTGGAGCTGAGCCTTTTGCTTCTTTCAGAAGGAAACTCTGACCAGCCAGGCAGGGAAAGGCTGGCTGTCTTTGCCACTGGGCCTGTGTTGGAAAGTTACTGGCCAATGAGAAGTGGGAGACAGGGCAGTCGCGGGGAGGGGTGTGGGGGAATTTCAAGGGTACACTGATTAAATCATATCCTCCTAATACGGATTTGATCAGTGCACTTTTTGATCTCGAACATCAGTATTAAAAAAAAAAAAAAAAAGCCTTGCGTAGTCTCCCAGGGTGAGAAAGCGGGTTGCATGGGTGGCTATCAGGGTTTCTGCCCCCCACCTCCTTTAGCCGCCGGCGTTCCTGCCCCATCCTCCTTCCGGCAGCCTGCCGCGGTGCTCCCGGGCTTTTGGGGAGCGCAGGCTGCGGCTGGCATCGTTGCTGGGCAACAGGCAGCCCCGCGGCCGCCTCCCCGGCTCGCTTTTTCCGCCCCCGCTGCTCCTCCTAATGTGGATTTAATCAGTGTACTTTCTACCTTCAGGCTGTAAATTGGAAACGGAACAGGGAAGCCATGTTCCGCGATGCCCCAAACCGGCGCGCAGTCTGTCTTGGAACATCCTGCTTGGCACAAAACGTGCCCCTGAGAGCGGCTGGCGCAGACCTCAGGGCTCCTCATTGGAACAAATTGCCATGCTGTGCATTCACATGTAAACCAGGAGCTTAGGAAATTTAGGTCAAATGTGGTTGAGGGCTGCAGAGAGAAAGAGGTGAAAGGGGCGTTTGGGGGCGCAGGAAGGCGGGAGGCGGAAATTCCTGAGGACCTCAGTGTTGCTGTCAGCCTAGCTACAGAGTGGAAGGTCACAATGGACGTTTACCTGTTGTCTTTGATGTTTAAGTCAGCACCCACTTCCCACGAGGAGGATTTTTTTTTTTTTTTTCCCCCTTTAAGGAGAGCTCTGGATCTCGATGTCTCTGCTTTCTTTTCTCTTCCCTGCAGGCACACCTGAGGCACCCAGGTCACAGGTTGAAGTCCGGAGGTGTGGCAGTTCCAAACAGGCGAGGTGGGTTCAAGGCAAAAGGCTATCTGGAGAGCGAAAGAGAATCTAAGTATAGGCCGGGCGTCTATAAATACAGGGTGACTCACGCCTGTAATCACGGGATTTTGGGAGGCCGAGGCGGGCGAATTGCCTGAGCTCAGGAGTTCGAGACCAGCCTGGCCAACATGGTGAAACCCCCGTCTCTAACAAAAGATTAGCCAGGCATGGTGGTGCACGTCTGTAATTCCAGCTACTCGAGAATCTGAGACACGGAAATCGTTTCAAGTGAGAATCGCTTGAACCAGGGAGGAGGAGGTTGCAGTGAACCGAGATCCTGCCACTGCACTCCTGCTCAGGTGGCTGAATACCAGTAGTTTAGGTCTGGAAGGTGGGAGTAGGGATGCTAGAGGAATGTGAGTTTAGAAATACATTATTTCTATTTTAACTAAAGTGATATCACGTACAGAATTTGGGATAATTTCCCTCTTGTGGGAATACATTTTTCCTAGTAGAGTCAATTGTTATGTATACAATCACTAACATGTTAAAAGAATGGTGATCATGGCAGGGTGTGGTGGCTCACGCCTGTAATCCCAGCACTTTGGGAGGCCAAAGCAGGCGAATCACCTAAGATCAGGAGTTTGAGACCAGCCTGACCAATATGGCGAAGTCCCGTCTCTACTAAAAATTCAAAAAATTAGCCGGGCATAGTGGTGCCCGTAATCTCAGCTACTTGGGAGGCTGAGGCAGGAGAATCGCTCGAAGCTGGGAGGTGGAGGTTGCAGTGAACTGAGACTGCACTAGTGCACTCCAGCCTGGGCGACAGAGCGAGACTCCATCTCAAAAAAGAAAAAAACAAACAAAAAGCATGGTGATCATGTAAAGCAAATCCACAAATCAGAGCTATTTTGTTTTGGGATGCAGCCATTTACCCCCTGGAACTAACCCGGCACCCCACATTGGTGTTGCAGTTCATAAAGGGCTCTATCCACTATTCCATGTGCTCGTCCTTCCCCCACAGCCTGTGAAATAGGTACAGGAAGTCTTTTGTCCCATAGACAGGGAAGATGGAGTTTGGGTAGCTGGGTGACTTGCCCAAGGTCACTAAATGAGTAAAAAGGGCTGAGATGAGCCCACCCTGCTTCCTGCAATAGGATAGCAGACAGTGTCATGAAAAAGAGCACCCAAAGGCTATTCCAGCTCTGCCACTCACTAGCTGTGAGGCCTGGACAAGTTACTTGTGACTTCTCTAGGCTTCAGTTTCCTCACTTTAAAATCAAGATACAAATAGTACATACCTTGTAAACTTGCGATTAATACCTGCAAAGTGTTTAGAATTGTGCCTGGCACTTAACCAGCACAGGTTATACAGTCTATGCATTACCCTGGATCTCCATTAGGTAAGTGAGACATGCTTAAGAACAACCTCCAACCTCCATTAAAGGACATGTAAAACTTTACTTAAAAGCTTGCTATGGATATGACTCATAACCATCTACATCAACAATTAACTTCTCCCTCATTAAAAGGAGTGATTTCGTCCCTGTGACAATTCTTGTCCACTAAATTGCCTTCACAATTATTTTCTGTTAGCGTTGAAAATACCCTTCTAAAGGTGTGCCTCCTGCTAGGTGATATATGATTCTTAAAAACTTTCCATATGCACATGAAACTATAATTTCCTATCGGCTTACCTTATAGTTGCAGAAAGCTTTGGCCTGCAAGGAAAAACAGTGTTTTCTAACACCTGAACTTTACGTATATTGATCCTAAACTCTCGCTAAATGTTTTACTTCACTTGGAAGGCTTGCAGCACACTCTTCTGAAACACAAAGATTCTTCTGGCAGTTCAGATGACCTTCCTCTGATTTAAGTGTGCAATAAACATTAGTTATTGTTATTACTACTTTGCTGGTTTAAATGTTGTCTTTCTCAAGGCAGGTCATACCTGTGTCTATGACCTTTGTCTGAGGCCCTGTTTCAGTCAGGCGTCTCTTTTACCATGGAAAATCTCCAGTATTTTATTCTATTTTCTAGACTGTCAGCTACTCTGATTGCTATGATTGTGCCTCCCACAATTTTTCTGCAGAGGCAGAAGATTTAATTTGCATTTTAAAATAATTTATGCAGAGTTCCAGGCAAGGAAGGTGGGAAGGTCACATCAGGGCCCACATTTATCTACAGTTCTCCATTACGATATCCATGTGCGGTTGACTCCTTTGCAGAGCAATCCAACTTCTTCCAATAACAGAATGCTTGAAAGAGGCAGAAGAATGAAGGAAAGGAAATTAGATACAAAGCAAAGAAAAATACAATAGCAAAAACTGTAGGATTTTTAAGGGAAGTACATCACCACTCAAGCAGAAACAAAATGGAGGACTGTTTATTTCATTGCTCAATCAAAACATTCCATGAAAGACTGCCTTAAATAATTTCAAAGGCTTCACTGATACATATGGGGGTGGGGAGGGAAACTCCACTACCCTGTGCCACAAAACTATTTGATATAACTAATGACATGCAAACACAATTTGCAAAAGCAGAACATTATCACAATATGATATTTAAGAAATTGGTTGAGTAAATAGATTTCATATCTTTAAAAACAGAAAAAAATTACACTGTATTAAGCCTGGGAAATCTTGGCAATTATCTACAAACTTTCTCATTTACAGATAGGAACAAAGGCCCAGAGAAGTTAAGCCACTCATCCAAGCTCACCGAGCAGAGATTCTGCATTTGCTATTTTGGAATAAGCTGTCTGCTTTCAAATGTTTTTTTAAAATGGATATTACATACTTTTTGTTTGTACAGAACAGTCATATAAAATAGTTGCTCCTTAATTGTATCCATTACTATTTAATCGCTTATTTTTCTGTCATAATACTATGACTTTTTTTCTTTGAATATTCACCTATTGCACTGAAAGGCTCCACTGGATTTGAAAACCAGATTCAGAAACACAGCACCAAGGTGCAATTCACAAACCACAATTTTTAAAATTAAGTATTCATGCCAAATCAAAATAGTCACCCACAAGTACTAAACACATGTTTATATTTCATGATGAAGACAATCACAAATTAAAAGTATCTGCCAAAATGTCTCTTTTCTCTAAGTCACCTTTACTTTCAGGATGTACTTGTTTGCAAATATTTAGCATTCACAGTACAACTGAAATTAGTTACATTCATAATGGTCACAATCGTTATTCTGTGTTCAAGACTCTCCAGAATCTTGATTGCCTAAAATGAGGTAGATAAACTTTTAAGTTTGTTGGTTGGGATTAATTTCCTTTAGATCTTGATCATCTATTTTTTAAATAGAATTCCAAAGTATTTAGCAAAAAAAATTGAAAAATGTCTAAGCACTTTGCCTAAAAAGTTGAAAAATATAATTTCAAAAGGTTATTATGAAAGTTGCTTTACCTCATTTCATTTTAAAAACAGAATAAATGCATCAAATTGTAAAACCACCGCATATCTTAGAGCTGACAGCCTAACGTCTTTCAACATTTAAACAGACCCTTGCTCTAGTTCTGGCTTGGGATTGTGTAGCTGCAGAGGCATCAGGTGAACGCATTCAGGGGCCAGACCAGCTGCTGCCCCTTAACCTTTGACCCTGGATTTCAAGTTCCCTCCAGAGTTCAGGCCTGTCTCCTGGAGTTCTTTATAGAAAGCTCTCACTGATTTCTCAAATCCCATCTCTGGAGATGGGTCATGCTTCAGAGAGAAGCTGGAAGTGCAGGCCCATCTGGGTAAAACAGGCTGCAGTGGACAAAGCTGGAAACAGAATGCGGCTCCAGGCGTTGACTGGGCTGCAGTCTTGGGCGGGTTTAGACTGCCAGGAGCAGGCCACGATAGATCAACCAGGTGGTAGTCCCAGGGACCTTCAGGTTGTTGGAGGCAAACTGGGCACTAGACCAGCTAAAGGCCCCGGAGTAGGTCGACGAGAGATTTCTGAGAAGGCTGGCAGACCACTGCGGATCTTTGTCTTTTTACGTGGAGCCATGGGCGACGCGCTCAAGAACTTACTGAAGGAGCTCGACTTCTTCAAGCCTCGGGCCAGGTCCTGGAGCATGAGGTCGTCGGCCAGGACGCCCAAAAATGCACTGGTGGTGGAACTGAGGATGGTGGCGGCCACCTGCACCGGGCGCCTGGCAGCAAGACTGCCACTTCCACCACCGGTCGCGTCTGGCTCCGTGGTGCTTCGCAGGCCTGGATCGCCAAGAAGGCGGCGCAACGCGTACGAGGAGCCAGGCCGCAGGTACTGGTAGGCGCGACGCCCGCTGTGGTCACGCACGTTCACCTGGGCACCCAAGCGCACCACCAGCAGCACAGCGGCGTCCTCGTGGCCGTGCAGCGCAGCCAGGTGCAGCGGCGTGT